ATATATGTAGATACGGTTTACTGGAGGAAACATTCTAACGGGACACAACGTGACCAGGTTTTACCAATCCACGTGACGAGGGCGGCTTCACTCGAGGAGAAGACATTCCTCTTTAAGAGAAATGTCTTTGTGCACGCAGCACCAGCAGACAGGTTAGCATGAGGCAAATATCAAGTAAAGAAAACACCACGATACATTTTGTTTCCCCATTTCTCGTCGTGTATAAAAACCCAAATTAACTGTGAGTAAATTGTTTAAACAGCATTTGTTTAGGAATGATTCCGTTTCAAGCTTCTCCATCCATGCTGGTTAAAGGGTTGATCACTGTAACTGTAATCACCATCAGCTGTTTCATGATCTACTGGGAGCTTTTGACAAGTTGATTTATTTTCAACTGTAAAATGTCACAAAATAATTTCAAAAAGGTTTATGGAAAACGTTTTGTAAAAATCTGCCACAGAAATAGATTTTCAGCCGGGCTCTAGTAAATGCATGTGAATTTAAAAAAGTGAGACAGAGGAGGAGAAAGACTGTGTGTGTGTGTGTGTGTGTGTAAAAACATCACTCACCTCTGCATGGATCATTTTTGACCAGGAACTCATCCAGAGCCATCCAACCACCTCCGACTCTCACCATCACCGTGCTGCGCAGAATCCTCACCAGACGCAGCTGCTGAGAGTCACCGAACTGAGGGGAGGAAAAAGAAGAGGAGGAGGAGGAAGGGACGCAGGAAGATGAGGAGAAGAGGGCAAGAGATAAGAAATGGAGTAGAAAACAAGAGTGGAAAAAGAAGAATGGGCAGATAGAAAAGGAAGGAAAAGTAGGAGAGAGAGAGAGAGAGAGAGAGAGAGAGAGAGAGAGAGAGAGAGAGGAGAGAGGGAATCAGAAACAGTCAGTGAGTAAAATAGTATTTGATAGATTCATTTGAATGGAATCACAGCATCACACAAAGCAGCCCATGTACCAAATCAGAACATCTGTTCTACTCCATGCAAAAACATGCACTGAATAGTCAATCTGATGATTCTCAACCACCCAAATACAAGCATTATCATTACAGCAGAAATCACTGCTCTGTTTGGATTCAGCCCTTAAGTTCTATTCAAACCGCCGAGCAAAGCAGAAGTCCACAGCGACACCAGCACAGAGGGAATTTTCAGGATTTCTCTCCAAGCAGCTTGATTTGCTTCCCAGCTTCAGTCCACAGCGCACGAGAGATAGATATATAGATATAGATATAGATAGATATATATATATACACACACACACACACACACACACACACACACACACCACCGAACCACTAATTACCACTTCAGCCATGTCACTGCAATTTGTCACTCTCAACAGAAAACAAATCACAGCAGGAACACAACTGGACGGTGGAACCTGCTTACACGTTGCAAAGCCACAATGGAGTGCTTCCTCTTTTTGTTTATGTCATTCACGAATTTGGAATTATAGCAACAACAAAAAATGAAATAGTGAAAGCAGAAAGGACAGCACTCTATTGGTGGGGGAGGCACGAAGCAGATTCCACACATCCGATCACAGCAGCGGCACTTTACCTGGTTTCCGAGGAAGAACTACAATAAATCCAGCAGACACGGAGCACAGGAACACAAGGAGAAAGAAACAGAGCCACAGTGAACCAACACGTACTGATAACTGATGATGTAAGAATGGATACCATTTATATGTGTTCAAGTTCTGATAAACTGTTGATGTCTTTGTGCATTTCTGTTATTTGAGCTCAGAATTAGTTGTGTGTGCCTGTGGATGTTATGACGGTGCTTCATAAAACTGCCAGCTGATGACGGAAAAATGGAGGTAAAGAAAGCGATGACAAGTGAAGCCAGACAAAAGACAAGACAGGACGCACAACCAATGGGAGAAAAAGTAGCTGGTGTAGTGTTAGTGTCCCCAGTGTCCTGCAGTCAGACACTCGATATCGTTACACAGTGGAGAAGGATGGACTGGACACACATTCTGTAGCAGTGGTAGTGATGGGCGGTCCACTACGTGCTGCTGAAAACTGTCCACAGCTGCTATGAATGCTGCATAGATACACACAGCCTGCTGGGGGAGCTATTGCAATCACTGTAGGTTTCAAACAACGTTTCAACACAATGAAACAAGGCCTGAACCCTCCTGGGGTTGTATTTGATGATGATTTTCATTTTTGGCCAACAGGGTCTTAAAACTCAGGCTTAAAGAGACAGTTCACCCTCAAATCAAATATATTCTTCTTACCTGTAGTGCTATTTAGCAATCTACATTGTGGTGTGAGTGCTGAAGGTATCAGCCTTCTCTCGTTTATAATGGAACTAGATTGCGCTCCACTTGTTGCGTCAACAAATATTCTGGAAATCATGCGAATTCAAGATCATCCCCAGACGTTTTTATGAGCAGTTCCAGGAAGGAACTATTTGAACGTTGCAGTTCGTATCCAGCAGCCAGCGGGACTCTATGCAGTCACATTTACATTATTAATGTTGAGGTGATGACAAAGAAGGCTGACAATCCTGGCGGGCTGTGAGATTAGTTATTAACACGCTATATCAATGTTATCATGACATGATATGTTATGATACAGACAATTATTAATACACCATGACATCATGATGTGAGATGGACACACAAACAAATGCTGTGAAGTTATGTTGAGAAGTGAAATGGTGGACAAGTGAAGACACAGCCAGTGAATAATAAACTGTCCATTAATCAGACCTGGCTCAAACTGTGTTTCTTTATCCGTCCAGAATCACAGAGTAAATAAAAGTATATTGCTTTTTATAAACGTAAAGCAGAGCTATGGACTAAATAGTTCATTCTTTATTTGCTCTATTGATAATGAATTACATTTTTGCAACAAGGATCTGCCTAACAAATCAGACTTCAGTGTTTCAATCCCAGCAAGTTTATACTGCACATCTAAGCACGAAGAAAAAAAATGGCCGAAGATTCTTTGCCAATCGGTTTTGACCCAGGTCTGTTAACATTTATTACAATGAAGGTGAACATTTTTTAAAGTTTATATTAGTTTGTAATTTGTTCTATAAATGACATCAAGCTGAAGCAGAGACTGAGCTGAACTTACCCGGTATTTGTTCTCTCCTATCTGCTCCACTTGGAACCTCTTGGCACATTTACACTGGGCCACCTGCCGAGTCACCTGCACAGCAACAAGCAACATGTGAGTGAATGTAATCACACTTCTAACCATGCATCCTAGCGGCTGACTGACTCTGCTGTGGCTGGTAGCTCATTGTGTGGATGCTTGGCCCCGATATCGCGCCGTACTTCATGACTTCATATTTGCTGGTCTTCTGACGTTTCTTACCTCGTCTTCTATCTTGTCGGCGTCGGTGGTGGGTCTGTAGGCGTCCTTGTTGGGGTGCAGAGCAGCAACAAACTCGTAGTAGTCGATGTAACCGTCTCCGTCTCTGTCAAAGATGTCTGCCACGGCTGTCATCTCCAGCTTACTGGTGGGGAACTCTGCACACAGACAAGAATTCAATCAGTTTATGTCTTTATAAGTGTCTCCAGCAACCAAATAAATACCAAAAACACTGTCACCCATAACCTACTCGATGCCAGGATGCCATCGATGAACTCCTGCCGCGTGATCTTTCCATCCTGGTCCTTGTCGATGCGTCTGAAGAAGTCCATGACACGAGACTTCTTATGGTTCATCCAGCGCATGTACTTCTTCCTCCACACGTCAAAGTCAAAGTTGGCAAACTCCTTGAGCTGGAAAAGGACGATGCAGACAGTTCTGTGATGCTTTTCATGGCACAGTGGCAGAAAGAATGTGCTTCTGAATGTTTAAGTGATGTCAAGTTATTGCTTTCATTGACCAGGAAACGGACTATCTTGGGATTTAACTTGGGTACATTAACCCGAGTGCATCACGAGGGACATTTTTGGCTTTTTTTAGTTTTGCGATCATTTCGGCTGTGTCACTGCATATGGTTTACATTTTGGCAAGTTCTTTTTTTCTTCTAATTTTGGAAGTTCAACCTCAGCTCCTATAATAAACTGTGTAGCCAAAATACAGACACTCAGATCCTTAAGGACAAAAATGTCCCCATTGAAACCCATTAAAACCACAATTACAGCATAAAATCATGCATTCTATGATATCAGGCTTTCCATTTAGAGCCCTGCTTACTAATTGTAGTTTCTATTTAGTTATTTTCCTCATTTCCACTTGGGTTATTGCTGCAGTGTGTATGAGTTTGGTGCAATGCATCAAAATCAATGTTATTGTTAATGATTGACATATAGCAGACTGGAAAAGAAAAACCCCCTGACATTTAGTATAAAGAAAATAATTGAAATCTTGTGTTTTTTGTTTTCTTCCATAAAACAACAGCAGTGCCATTATGTAAACAAATACAGGGTGGACAATTATAATGTTTAGTAGTTACTATCAAGAATGAAGTCAGTTAAAATATTAAACTAAATATTAACCAACTTAAAATTAATAAATCATTTTATGGCAGTTTTTTGATGCAGACATTTTTCTCTTCTAATGACATCGGATCATTTAAAAAAAAAAAAAAACTGAAGCAAAAGGGTTGATCATATTGAAAAAGACACCTCTTCCAGTCGGTCCAGACCATCGTTGAGTTTGCGCTGGCGGTCGAGAGCCAGCAGCCAGACTTGCTGCCACCTGGCACAGAGCTGGTTGAGTCTTGGGTTTCCTCCCGAGAGCTGCATGGCTGCCTGCTGCTGCTGCTGCTGCTGCTGTTTGCCTGTAGAGGAAGCGGAGAGTTAACGAATCCTCGTCACTTCTGATGAACCTTCTGTAACGTGTGCACCCACTCTATCGTCACAGAGTGGGAGACGATGATATTTGTGCATCTAAAGTTAAACACGGGAGACTTACGGGCTCCTCTCCTCTCAGCCAGGCTGCTGGGAGGCTCAGACGGTTTTCTCTTGTAGGTCTTCGTCACTTTGTCAACGTCCGGCTGCTTCCTCGTCATCTCCTCCATAAACATCTGAGAACAACAAACACCAGAAGTGTACCAAACTGTTAGGTGACAGCACAAACAAATTCAGCTTTAACTCCATCTAGTGACGCGTTAAAAAGACCCAAAACTATGCCTGGGCTTTTAGTGATGAGTCAGCGAAGCCCACCTGGTGTTCTGTGATGAGTGTTTTGAGTTGTGGGATGTCCTGAGGAAGCGGCTCCGTGTCCTTCTGGACCAATGTGGTCTCGGCGAACTGGAGCCATGACAGCAGCTCCTCCAGCAGGTTGCCGTTGTTGAGCACCTCGGTCAGAGCCGTCTCCAGCCGCTGCTCGTGCTGTTTGGCCCACGTCAGCACCTGTAGAGTGAAAGGCGCTGATTAACATAGAATATATTTATATACAATAAATTCTGCACTCCTCAGCGCAACGTGGAAGCCATGATTGATTCGCCTGTGACCAACAGTCATGTGACTCAACTGCAGGCTGCTGAACACAGAGAGCAGAGGAGAGGTTGTAAAAATGGAATTTGTTCAACATACACAGCACGTAGAGCCTTCAATTTCTTTTTTCAACATTGGTAACACTTGTGGGCACTTGGAGAAGTGTTGGACACATAAATTCCATTGCTTGAATTATCAAAGATATTACACTTTGGTTTTTCTCCTTTTTATGATTGATGGCATGGTAACTGTGTTATACTGCACAAAAGACATCTCTTCTTCTAGGCATGGTTGTGTTGTTTCCACAGAGGTGCAGGACTTATATATTGCAGTGAAAAACGAGACAGAGAGAAAAATGTGACGGGATAACAACAAAAACCAAACTGCTTGGGGTTCAGAAGGTTAAATAAAGGTTAACAGGAGGTAAACAAATCTCAAAACCTAAAGCTAAAATGTTGAAAAGAGGAAACAATATTCAACCGAGGATATTATTAATAAACCTCCTCCTCACCTCCTCGAAGCGTGCCCTGATGATGGTGATCCAATGTTTGATGGTGGTGATGGAGTCAAGGTGACAAACGGTCAGGATGCCCTCTCCCATGCCTGCAGCCTTGTTGACGCCCGTCCTCTTCTCCTCCACGGTGCTCATGAAGTCGCGATGCGTGTGCAGCAGCGCCTGCAGAGTCTCGGCCTCTTCGGGGAGGACGCCGCGGAAACGGAGCGTCTGCTCCGCCTCGGAGAGCCACTCCAGAAGGACCTGTATTGCTGTGCGAAACTCCTCCGCCTGATGGAGAAAGGGGTCATTGGTATGGAGGCAGGAAGAGGTCTGTGATTGCGTCCTGTGCATTATGTGATGTTGAAGTTTTGGATGTGCACTGCAGCTTGCTCTCTGACCTGTTTGAGGGCCTGCTGGAGGCGGGTTTGCTTTGTGACCGACAGAGCGCACACCGTATCCCAGCGGTTGCTGAGCTCCTGAACCTGAACTTTGACCCACGCCGTGTCATCGCGGCCGGTGTCCATCAGATCCCGAGCCGAGCGCTTCAGAGCCTGAACGCTGCTGGTTCTCTTACCCAGCTCTTTTTGGAAAGCCTGCAGGTTTCGGACATCAGTAGTGTCAGACTCAGAACCATCTGTGGTATTATTATCCTCTCGTACGTGTTTAACGAGTACGGTTCTGTTTACGCACCTTATGCGAGTCCATGAGGTTGGACACCAGATCCAGATCTCCGTGGACGGGCAGGTCTTCAGCCAGCTGGGGCTCTACTCGGTACAACCAGTCCACCAGGGCCTGGAGAGCCTCTGCAAACTGGCCGGAGAACAGCAGAGCCTCCTCCAGCTTGTGTTGTCTGGATGGAGGAGGGAAGACAATCATATTCACATCTGTAATGAATAGCTGGAGGAAAGCCAGTTCCATCGTCCATCCTTCACCCTCTTTACCTCTCCACGCTCTTGCCACACACGGTGTCCCACTTGTCGCGGACCTCTCCTACAAGGTGGTCCATCTTCTGGGTGTCTGCCGGCAGCTGAGCCTTGTCCCTCATGGCCCTCCCAGACCTCACGGTTGTGTCGTAAACCGGCTGCTTCGAGCCCAAGGCTTTCTGGAACTCCTGGACGGGCGGAACGAGGAAGAGGAAGAAAGAGATTTGTAGATTGGGAAGCAACAAAAAGAGTCAACAGTGTGCGTAATAATTGCCTTGCAGTACCTTGTGTTTGGCCAGTTGTACTTTGATCTTGTCCGGCTCGTTGGAGATCTCCAGTTCAGAGTCCAGTCTCTTCTCGGCTTCTTCTAGCCAGTCGGTCAGCTTCCTCCAGGCCTCGTGGAACTGAAAGAAGAGAGTCAGAGTTTATTTTAATACATACATTCTCTCTAGCTGACATTTTCCTAATAAATACAATGTTCGCAATCTGGATTTATAATCAGTTTAGGTGCAAGAAGTCATCTGAATTTTATCAAATTTAGCTGAGACTGTCACCAAGAACGACTTACAATGAGTTTTAGCGGAGTATAACTATATCTCCAAAATACTATCCACCAATAGCAGAGACATTAAGGTCTGAAGTTAATGTTTCAGTGAATCCTCACTGTGCCTTTGGTCTTAATGGGACAACATCAGCATTTAATCACCCTTTACTACAATAGTACCTGTTTGGCGCGTTTGCGAGCCTCATCGAGGTGTCGCCCGCGGTCCAGTGACCTCTGGACCAGCTTGTCCCAGCGGGCCTGGACGCTGAGCAGCAGGTTCTTGATGAGAACGACGTCCTGCTTCAGGCTGGCAAAGCGGAGCTGAGAGCCGGCCTTCTCCAGAGCCAGGACCTGCTCTCTGTGGGTGTTCACCTCGTTCACAAACACCTGGGAGAGCAGAAGGAGTTAGGGATAAATGTAACAACCGAGGCGTCTTTCACCACGTTTCTAGTGACTGGCGAACGTTCGCTACCTTGTGCTCATCGATCTGAAAGAGGACAGTGTCCAGTATGAGGCTGGGGGGCTGAGCCATGTTCAATGTCTGCTCAGCTTGGGTCAGCCAGTTGATGGTGTCCTGTAGAGAGGTCTGGAAACCTGTTGCCAAGGAAACGGCCTCTTCCAGCTTTGCCTGGAAGGGTTCAGAGTTTAAAATTTAAAAAACAAAACAATAAACCATCAAAAGCCAGAGAAACACAACTCTGGTCAATAAAACGTCTCCTCGTGTCGCGGTCTTACCTTGCGGTCGTCCATCTTGATGTTGAAGCTGGCCCACTTGTTCTGCAGCATGGCCAGGTTCTGCTGGGTCTGGGTGGTACCGGGTCCGGCTTCTTCTCCTCCGCGAGCTAGCAGCATGGACTCTCCTTGATCCAGCAGACGGTGGTACTGGTCCGCTCGCTGGGAGAGCTGGGCCTGAAGCTCCTACAGACGGAGAGGACACAAATGTGAATCAACACTAAACCGTGAGCGCTGTTGTGTCTCGCTGGTTGGTTGGGAACAATGGAAGTTATTAAAGTTTCATATGACACCAGCACCTTCACACTAGCTTTAAAAAGGTGCCTGCTGCCTGCTCAGAAAGACGGTGATGTCGGGGAGTTTAAGAGGTTAAGGTCCATGGATGTGTATTGTGGATGACAGTCTGAGCATAAAGGTGTGATGGGATTCTCTGTTACCAGGTGTTGCTGGAGCTGCTCCCTGGCCGTTTCAGGGAGACCGCCTGTCGGCTTGGCGGCGGACAGCTGGCTATCCGTCCTCCTCAGCCACTGGAGGAACTCTTCCAACTCGCCATGGAAACCTTCAGCCTACGCAGTAGAAATGAATCAGTTCAGATATCATAAAAACACTACAAAAGCCAGGGCTGTCACTGTTATTCATCAGCACTAAGATCTAACGTTGCTTCTTCACTGTACCTGGTGCAGGGCGGCCTCCAGTAGCTTCTGCCGCTCTTGGGTCTTGAGCAATAGGCTCTGCCAGCCCTGGTGGAGATGGTCCAGCTGGTCCCTCAGGTGGCTGGCCTCATCGCCGGGAGAGGACTCCAGCAGCTCGGCGCCCGCGCCGTTCACGTTCTCCACGGTGGCGTGATGGGATAGAACGTCGTTACGCAAAACCTACGACATAGAGGAGGGAGAAAGAAACGAATTACACAGAATTAAATCTGAATGTTTCAGTGCAAGAGCTGGTTTTTGGAAGCTAAAATAAAACAAGAGGCCAACAAATCTCGTGTGTGTCTCTGAAGAGAAGAAAAGAAACCACATTAGGACTACAGCGCATCGACAGGTTTCATTAGCACAAACGGCAAATTCTGTTAAAGAGTCAAACTATCCTTAGGAAACAACCTGTCTTCACTTTACAATGTCAGCTGGACCAAGACGAATAAGTCACAGATGTATTTTTTTAGTTTGTAACAAACGGAAACATACGTGATGTTTAGCCAGCTCGATTTCGATGGCCTTGGGGTCAGAGCTGACTGGTCGCTGTGTGTCCAGTGTGGCGTGTGTGTGGTTGAGCCAGGCCTGCAGCTCAGACAGGGCATGCTGGAACTGACCCAGGGCCAGCAGGGCGCCCTCAAGCTTGTGCTGTGGTGGAGGAGAGACAGAGGTTCAGGCTTAAAAATAGGAACTCAAATAGTTTGACTGTAATGAGAAGCAGCTGTCAAATACATGCGATCCTCCAGAATGCCGGCAAAGACTAACATCGTCAACTCCCAAGAGAAACCGCAGGGCTGAGAGCCGGAGGTCAGCGACAGAACCGTGTCTCCCTGAGATGGTATTATTTTTTTGCTCAGTGATGCAGATTCTAACACCTCCGCCTCACCGCTGCCACACGTGGTGACATTACCTGTCTGTGGGTGATCTTATCCCCCAGGTTTTCCCAGAGGTGTCGGAGCTCGATCAGTGGCTCTTGGATCATGTCCCGGTCTGTCTGGTCTGACACCTTCTTCAGCAGCAGCTCCCCCTGGTGGCACAGCTTCTCCATGTCAATCTGCTGCTGGTAGACCTCCACCTTGTACTGCTGCTCGGGGTGAATGAAAGGAGGAGAGGAGGAGTAGTGTTTTGTTAGTTCTTCATCCTTATTTGATCACAGGTTATCTAAAAATCATGTTAAGATAATGTAAAAAAAAAAAAAAAAGCGACTCTCTTGCTAACCTTGAGCTCTTCAATCTGCTGTTTGACGGTTCCCAGATCAGTACCCACAGTTGACATTTCGCACAGCTTGATCACTGCGTTGTCCAGGTAGTCAAACATAGACTGGAAAAATGCATTAGAACTGCGTCAACATCAACAAGACAACGTTTGCATCACGTGAAAATGTTGGTGCAAAGACCACACTCACGAAACATTAATGAATTGGCCCAGTTAACTACAGACTCTGATGCACAAACCTGCAGTGCGTCCTGATACTGCACAGACGCCGTCATGGCCTCATCCAGTCTCTCCATCCTCTCTCTCCAAGTCCGGTTCAGGCCCTCCCAGGCAGCGTTCATCTGGGAGACCAATGGGAAGTCGTGTTAGTGGGTCATCATGTAGCAGAGCTCAATTCCAGAAAATTATCTTTTCAGAAGCAAATTAACTTCTTGTGTTCATTTTCTCACCTCATCGATGGTCTTCTTGACTTCAGGTTTCTCAGTTTCTCCACAGGCGAAGATGAGGTCGGCTCCGAGGGTCCTGACAAACTCCAGTTCCTCCCTCAGGCCGTCTGTCTCGGCCTTAATGGCCTGGTGGAAGGATAGAGAGAAGTCGTGTGTGAGGTTGTTTAAAACCCAAAAAAAACATCACTACAGATTGCATTTCTTCCATCGATTAGCTCGTCTCTTTCTCTGCCCCCCCTCGTGCCCTCCATACCTCAGCAGCCTCAATCTGTTGTTTGATGAGCGAGGGGTCCACGCCGGGGTCCTCCAGCTCTTTCACGATGTCCTGGGAGTCTCGGAGCGTGCTCAGCAGCGCCGCCACGTCGGCCCAGAACTTCCCGGCCAGGTCCAAGACGTCGTTGAGCTTCCCCTCCCGCTCCTCAGCCCGCTGCCGGATCTCGTCCCACAGGGAGCGCAGGCGCAGGAGGCGGGTCCGAACGGCTGGAAGAGAGAGTTTGAGTTTAATCAGCCTGCTGGAGAAAAGCAAGCGGGATCTCACTGGAAAAAAACAACCAACTTCTTGGTTATTCTTTAAGTCATGTGAAGAAAAGTAATAATGTTTTCTTTGTTTGAATTTTGCCATCTAGTGTAAAGTGAAGTCTCACAACAGGCCACTCCCACTATCACTGCACAGAGAGGCCTTTTATAATTTCACGAAGCGTGGAGGGCTGGAGTCCTTCTGAGGTCAATATAACAAAGACGAGTGTGTGTGGTGTGTGTTTTGTCTCACCACGTGGTAACGTTGGAAGAAATATGCAGAGCCTCACCGCATTTCAAGATTCGACAAGGGCTGCCCCGCTGGCTTTGTGCCAGTAACACAGTGACTTACTGGCCAGTTGATTGTTTAGTGAGCAAACTAGTTGGACTGGAGCCCAAAATAAGATTTTTATATTTTTCACCCAGATTACAGACGCCTGTTACGTCGCCTCTCTTCTCTGACCCACTCTGAATTCTGATGTCTGATTTGTTTGATTGTGTGATGTTTTCTTCCAGTACTTTTCCATTTTAAATGAGTCACACACTAAAGAGTTGGCAGCAGTGTTTAGTTATATAGCTGTTTGTTTGGCTCATCAGTGAGCCAAGTGCAAAAAAGTGTATATGAATTATTAAAATATGCGTTTGTGTAAATCCCTCATCCTGTTGTAACACATGGACTATGTGGCCAGTCCTCCACATGTCAGACCCGTCCCAGACTCTCACCCTCAGCGGCCGGATCGTCGTGAGCGGCTCGCCCAATGAGCTCTTCGCCGCGGGCGCAGAGGGCGGAGAAGCTCGGCAGCAGTTTGTCCAGCTCCAGCCCCTGGGCTCGGTGCTCCGCCAGCTGCTCCCTGATCTTGTCTACCTCTGCCGCCACGGGCGGAGGCTGCCGCAGCCGCTGGACCGCCCCCTCCAGGGTCTCCAACAGGGGGTCCATCTTGTCGTGAAACTGGGGACGGAAGGAGAGTTGGAATAAAATATTATTAAGAGGAGGAGGAGGGAGTGTGTTGAGGGGGCTGGGTTTGGATTTTTAACAGCCGGGTGACATTTTGAAAGTGGGAAAATACTGAGATATTATGTGGGTGGTCAGCCATCTGTCGCAGAATGCATCAACTTTTTCGGCTTATTTAATATCTTTTATCTTATATCTGATTTCAACAGGGGATGTAGAACAGCAGTACAGTTCTTCTACAATATTTGATATCTCAATTTTGCACCTTCAACATGTCATCCATGTAAATCAGACAAAGCTGGATCTACCACACAAGAGGGAGCTGCTAATTGACAAGAGAGCAAATATGGTACAGTTTCTAGAGAGATGACCGGCTTTTATGCATCTAGGGGAAATCAGATTGCTTGATCGCTACACGGGACAACAAATCTCATCTAGCCACAAGTGATACAAAAGGACAGCTATCAAGGACATCACTCAAGCCTAGTCTGAGACCAAAACTTTCATTATTGGAAAGCATGTCTCAGTTTCAGACCAGGCTTAATGCAAGTCTACAAATCTACACAAAGGGGACTTTTCCCAACAGATTTAATTCAGTTTTATTGTCACTCAGGGTTGGCAGACACATGGTTTGGACCATGATGTAGATCATATAGAAATGAAAGGGATAGTTCAAATATTTTGAAGTGGTGTTGTACGAGGTACTCATCTATAGTCGGTGCATTACCTACAGTAGATGTCAGCACGCCCCTGCTGGGGGATTGAAGCAGTTATCTATGCTCCCTTCAAAGCCACAAGTCTCCTTTGACAAAAACAGCAATTTTACTTCACAGAACACTGGAGCTGTTGGTCTACCGCTTCCTCCATCGGTTAGTTTGTTTGTGTTAGTTTGATGTTTTAAGGAATTTGTTTGGATTCACGTAAGTCACACCGTAACACAAACAAACTAACGCGTGAAGGCAACGGTGGACCAGCAGCTCTCATGTTCTGTGAGGTACAATGACTCAAAGGATTCTAGTGGCTCTGAAGAGAGCATAAAGTAGTGAAAATAAAGTAGTGAAAATATTCTGAATATAGCGTACACTTATACTGTTGATTTTTTTAGGTGTCTAAAATACGTCCACAGCTGTACAGTGCTGTGCTGGCACTCCTGTCTGTTTTTCCAAACTCCATCTACTGAAGGTAATACACTGACTAATATTGATAAGTACCGAATACAACCACACTTCAAAAAATCCAAACTGTCCCTTTAAGAGGAGATTTAACTGGAAATCTAACGCTTAAGAATTTTTCGAATCAGTAATAATCCAGACAACGTTTACCCTTTGAGATAAACTGACTGCATAAATTATTACTTCATCTGGTCAGATTAGTACATGATTAGTACTAGTATTAGTATAGATTCACATTTGATTAGTCGACCAAATCATGTGGTGTAACCGCACCCTGAGTGCCAGTATGATGCTGTCTTACCTCTACCAGCTGGGTGATTGCAGTGAGCAGTGATGATGGATAAAATGATGGTGTGGGGGGGAGGGGGGCATGGCAACACACACACAGCACATCCACAATGAACGAGGGATGGGATGGTGGAGGGTTGCAAGGACGCGATGAGTGAGATTAGGGTTAAAGGAGGGAGGAGAGACAAGGAGGAGGGAGGTTCAGGATGGAGTGAGGGATGAGGATAGTGTGGAGGTGAAGGTGGACGAAGACACACGTGAATTGGGTTTGACAGGGGGGCGGAGGGTGGAGAAACAATACAATGAGTTAAATCAGAGACATGCACAGAGTACAAACTGTGAGGCAATACCGACGGCAGCAACACAGGTGATTCAATAGTGTCTCATGAGATGAAGCGTGAAGAGAATGTAAAATAACCTGAAGAAAACTAGCACCAAAAGACGACATGATGTGATAAGAGACAAATCTACGTAAATGATACAGCGAGACTAAAAACTGCTAGATGTATGTGTCAGCTGTTAATCATACGATTTAAACTAAAGTAAAATATACAAAACAAAGTCAAGAATAAGTCCAGAAAACCAAAATAAATCTTAGCTATCGCTGAACTCCTGACTTTACAAAATAAATCCTTATTATCATTTAGTTTTTGAGCAGCAGACACAAACGCACACGTAGACCTCATGCGGCTTCGTAATTACATTTCGTCTGAAGCTGCAGACGCCGTCTATCATGCTGTGACCAGACCTGGGCCAAACGGTATTCACTAATATGCTCCAATCTACAAATTCTTCACTGTGCACTGAGAGGCTGAGAGTCAATTCATACACAAAATCTCATTTGAGTTTACTAAATTGACTTCCTGGTACCCAAGTAGAGTCAATTAAAAAAACCTATTTGACCCAGGTCTGCAGCTAAAACACAGAACCGAGCAAATCGAGCATTAAACGGTTAGATAGATAGATATATACTTTATTCATCCCCGGGGGGAAATTTGTTAAGCAATTAGTCCTCGGTGACGCACCTGTGCAGACTGGGACACAGCCTCGTCTAAGGTTGTTGCACGACCTTTGACCCCCTCTTTGATGGCCAGGTAGCGCTTTCCGGCCTCAGTGTAGCGCTGCGTCACGGTGGCCCCCTCCTGGAGGCTGAGCTCGACCAGCTGGGGCCCGATCTTCAGCAGCTTGTCGATGTGGGGCTTGTGCTCTGCGATGGACTCCCTGAGCAGCTAAAGAGGCAATGAACGGACAGAGAGAGGAAATTAAGAACACGTCAAAAATATACACTTTTTAGGGTCGGAAAGCTGAGAGAGAAAAGATTCCAGATCCTCTTACCCTCATCTGGTCCTGTTGCAGCCGGAGAGCGTCCGTGTCGATGGCCGGCGGTGGCAGCTGGGTGATGAGGGTTTCGGTCTCGCCCAACCACGGCTCCAGTTCCTCGTAGGTCTCCCAGAACCGAGCGACCAAAACCTGGGCCTGCTCCAGGGCTGAGAAGCGCTCACTGTGGCTCTGGCTCACCGCGTCGTAACGAGCACTGAGGGAGTCAGTCTTCACCTGACGAAGATGAAAAAGACGAAGACGTGAAGATGCCACACTTTTCACAGATGACTTGTCAGTAAAGAGTCGTGTCCCTCGCACAGTACGTCCCTTCCCTGTTACCAATGTACACAAACTTAAATTTCCTCATGTTCAGTCTCAGTGACTCACTATCAGTGCGTCCTTCTGGGCGTCGCTGCACGTCTCCAGGATGTCGTCCTTGGTGCCGAGCAGCTGATCCACGGTGTCTTTGTGTCGGATGATGTCGATGTTGAAGGCCCTCTGCACTTGCATCTGGGCCACAGTTACGTCCGGCTCCAGGCTCAGCGGCCCCAGAGACACTAACTTGCGCTCCGTCTCCCCGACCCAGGCCAGTTCTGCATCCACTGCCTCCTCGTACTGGAGGGAGGAGTCAGCGATTAGCAGGTTTAAGTGCTCACAGTAAAAGAGACTTGGGATTGGTTCGGAATAAAACCTCTCGCAGTACCTGTTGTGACCTCTGGATGGCAGCTTGTACCAGCTGCACCCGCTGAGTGATGGTTTCGTCGGACTGGCGGTAGCGCTGGTTGGCATCGGCGACCAGGCGGTCCAGGCCCTCGCGGGCCCGCCACGGCACCAGATCCAGCAGGGCGCTGCCTACCTCGTTCACCGTGTCCAACACCAGGCGCTTCTCTGCCGACACTTTCTTCAACTCCTGCAAAAGTGGAAGTGAGGGATTAGTTTTACAAAGAAAAAGCTGCTAAACACGACGAAATGGAAGCAGGTTTGTTTTTGCTGCCAAACTGATTATTAAATGATGAAAGCTGAAAATGTCATTGTGGACTGGAAAAAACTGGATGGCAGCGAAAAAGGCAATCATTTTCAATAGCTTTTATAAACTGTTATTGAGTTCCCAAAAAATCAATGTTGCTATGGTAACTCAACTGTGGGTGGGTTGATACTGGAACGGCTGAAAATGTCATCACAGAGAGGAGCCGTCATTAAACTAGCTGTTCCTTTCAAATAATGTTTTGTTTAGTCGACTATGGGAAAAAAAAAATCTTTCAAATGTGGATAATGAAGTCTGTTACGTCTCCAGAAACAAAACTAAATAATGAAAAAGAAGAACTGCATCTTAAAAAGTCCTTTATAACACAAATCCATGAAATGCGTGCGTACAAGTGACACACGACCAGTATATGTTACACCAAGAAGCAATGACTGGTGTGTTGTAGTGTTGTATCTAAATAATGACACTGTTGTAATTAAACTGCCCGTAAAAACCTAAATGCTTGAACAAGGTATTACAAAAGACACAAAGGCGTTGCCGCTGGATGTTTCTAATTATGTTTTTGCAGTGTCCTTTATTTTGACAAAACCGTTAATTAAATGGATATCTATCTTGTTCTCCACCCACCTTCTGTCTGTGCTGGTAGGCGGGCGTGGCGTCGGGCTCCACGTTGTTGAGCTCCGCCTCCACGCCGTCCAGCCACTGGTTGAGGTCGTCGTGGGCGCTGGCAAATCGCGTGGCCAGCTGCAGGGCCTGCTCCAGGGTGCGGAGGGCCTTGCTGCTGCCGGCCGTCATCTCGGCGTAGCGGGACTTGATGCCGTCCAGCTTCTCCTGGATCAGGAGGACCTCCTCGCCTGCAGGAGGACACACAGGTCGGGGTCACGCCCAAAGCTTTCATAGAGCTCACCAGTGTGATAGAAGCGTATAGAAGACGACCTCTTTTTTGCATTTCTAGTTTTTCTATTTCCTTTCTCTCCTCTTTTATTAAGATTGAGTAATACATTTTTTTTTTAAAGATAAATAAGATAAAAGGACTTTAAAAAAATATATATTTTCAATTAATCATTGATATTAAAGGAGAAAAAAAATAAAAAAACACAAAAATGTTTTCTTTTCCTCTTTTACGTTCTCTATGTACATTTTTGTGAATTTTGCGCTCCGTTTATTGTTTCCTAGTTAAAGTATGTGCACAATATTATCTATAACAAACTGATCTTACAGTGTCCCTCATGTTGACAGATCCTCAATTGTTTAAATAAGTATTCATGAGGTAAACCAACAATTAACTGGCTAACAGCCAGTCAGCGTGGCTAATATGATGAGGAAACCAGATGTCACAGTTTGGTTCGCCACTGATGTCAAAATGTGTCGTTTGGATGTGGATCTACGACAACTACAAGAAAACAGTGTTTCAGTTTCTTTCTAGTGCGATTCTCTAAATTCAGAGAATATAGAATATCTGCTTTATCAATCTGGATGCTAATGTATGAAACATGATGAACCTTTCCAGCACAAATTTAGGATTTACAAAGAGAAAGTCAGGTTAGCAAAAAGAAGAAGAAGATTAGGAGTCTGAGGTTACCTGTGGTCTGTTTTAGTAAGGCTTGTCCGTTCTTGATGGCCTGGTCCACTGTCTTCTTCCTGCTCACAATCTCCTCATTTAGAGACTGAGGGGAGAGAGAGAGGAAGTTAACCTCTAGCACACGCAAGATATTTTTCTCGTCGGTTCAAAGAACAAAATCCGAAGTACAGTGTGCATCCTTTATTTAACTGTTCAAAAAGATCCAAGTCATGAAGGAACACCAGGGTGTTTGTGTTCTAGTGAAGCAAAAGATAATATAACAAAAAGGTACTGCAGGAAACGATGGAGGGGAACTACTGTTCCCAAAAATAAAGATGATGATTCAATGATTCAAAATGTAAAATCAAAAACTAAGTGATAAAAATATATATTATTACAATTCTAAATGTATACTGAAGCCCTTTGCCTACTAACTGCTGTTCCCATGTTTTGGGAGAAATAACTGAAGTAGGCATCGAGTGTGTTGATGAAGTCGTACCAGAGCGTGCTTGTGCTGCTCGGCCAGCAGCTGATGCCGGTAGCTGTGGACGGAGACCTGACCCAGCCTCTGAGCCACCTCCGCCAGCCAGTTCAGCACCTCTACCTCCTCCTCCCCAAACAGCTGGGCGTTAGCCAGCGCCTGCTCCAGCATGCCCGCCCGCCGGGAGCACCAATCAGTGAGCTCCGAGTGGCCCGACCTGAGCGCCCCCACTCGCTCGCTCAGCCAATCGCGGTCGGCCGCGCAGCTGAGCGGCGTCAGCGATTGGCTGAGCGACTCGAGGCGGTCGACCTCGGCTTGGCGCAAGGACACGTCCTCTTGGACCGCCTGGGAGTTGTGTGTGTGTGTGTGTGTGTGTGTGTGTGTGTGTGTGTGTGTGTGTGTGTGTTTGAGGGGAAGGTGAAAGGAAGTGAGAAAAGAACAACAAAACAGAAAAAAAGATGGATAAAAACTCATAATATGAGCATGCAAATGACAAATCATAGAATAATAGGAAATCACAAACATGAACAAATGAGTAGAATAACTTAAAAAGAAAGTAAACCACTGAAATGAGAACAACTTGAAATGGACTTAAAAGACGTTTGAGTTGTAAATGATTCGTGGATCTTATGCCTCGTGCTTCCTCTTTAGTTGAGTTACGTGTAGATTAAGCGAAAGGGCATTTTATCAAGACTGCATGTGTGTTTGCTATTCTGAATTATTCTCTACGGTACTATTCAGTTCAAATAGTGCACCTGGAATACCAACAATATGTAAAAGGTAATTAAGTAAGGTTAATCTAATGAATGAGATATGTTTAACCTTTACTTTGCCAAACAATTAAACAATTAAAGGGCCAGTGTAACGCATTTAGGGGCATCTGTTAGCAGAAATAGACTTCAACATTCAGAACTATGTTTTCATTCGTGTAGTATCCCCTGAAACTAAGAATTTTTTGTTGGCTTAGAATGAGCCCTTCATATCTACAGAGGGAGCGGGTCGTCCTCACGGAGCCAAACACCGACTCTAGAAAGAGCCTTTCATGTTTTTACATTACCTGAAGGCCAACGTCGAGATGCCACTAAATCCTACATCGTGCTCTTACGAGCATCTTCAACCTACCTTTTCCTAGGTTGAGGGGTTGGGGGATGGTCTGCTTTTTTTAAACTTCTATTATTTCGATGACACTGTCCGAGAAAAGGCAGGGGATCCAGTCTCCTGCTCAATGACGCACATAAAAAGTCAAACTCCTCCCCCAAACGGTACCTTGTGCTTGGTGATCTGCTGGGTGATCTTGGCCGTCTGGGTTCCCATGGGCTCGGCGGTGGTCAGGCGTCTCTCGGTGGCACTGAGCCATTCTCCCAGCGGCTCCAGGGCTTCGTGGAACTGAAGAGCCAGAACCTGCAGCTCCTCCAACTGCCTCTGCCTGAAGCACGGGAGGGAGGGAGGAGATTTTATTGGTATTTTATTGCTTTCACAGATTGGTTTTGCTCGACTTGGACCTGATTTTGCGTCATAACAGCCGTCGTCTTTTTTTAAATGAAATGGCGTTTTTATGATATATTATTACATTTCGAAGACTTTCATAAACAGAAAAAATGGATTATTGTTGTGTGTTAGAGACAGAAAAAGAGGAGCTTTTGCAAATAGGTGAGGATACGCATCTGTCTTTTTGTGCGTGTAAACTGAAGCATCACAGCGATGCTTCTAAAGAAGGCAGCGCGTGTGTATAGACTTAAAATATTTACGTTGTTAGTGCTCATACTAGAGACGCGTGATGAATTACAGAGACACCATGCCTTACTGAAAGTTGTACGGCATGAATGTTTGATGAATACATTATGACTACTTTACATGAGATCATCGGAGATATCAAACCTCTTCACTGTGCTCTACGAGTGTGTACTCATTTTGCCCTCTGAAGAATCAGTTCTTTCCCCAGCGAACAGAAGAGCTGCTGATATTACTCACGGGCCACAAAGTAATGATACTATTCCTTCTCTTAGTACAGTGGTGGTCCACGGAGCCACATGCAGATGAAACAAGAAAACAGGAAAGAACTGCCACCAATTATTTTCCCAAACCACGGCAAGACAAGTGCCTTTTTGAAGGAGGAAAAGGACAAGAACTGATCAACAATCAGCGAGACACGGAACTAGAATCCAAAGAAAGTGGTGACCATAAGAGAGCAATTGAGAGTACTGATTGTTTCTTTTCTTTTCTCGCTCCACAGGGACGTCGGCTTGTACCCAGATCCTCCCCACCCTAGAGCCCCCCCCTGTACTGTAGAGGAGACTTGCCTGCCCATGGCCTTGTCCAGCAGGTCGGTCCATCTCTCTGCCAGACTCTGGAGCTGGGTCCGAATCTTCTCTCGGTCCTGAGTGTCCGCCGTGGCTGCGATCCTCTCTCCCTCAGCGCGGATCATCTCCACCGTCGGCCGGCGGTCATCTAGCAATCTCTGGAGCAGCTGGAGGAAGAGAAAAGCACGCATGTTATCGAATCCTAAAGCGAGGGAACTCTGTCCGTCTGTCCTTCTCATATCTCGAGAAGCGTCCATCCGATCTACTTCTCACCCGCGGGTGTTTTACTGGGGACCAAAGGACGTGCACTGCCGAAGTTAGACACTTGACACCTTCAATATTAAGAACATTTAAATAAATAAATTACTTTTAATAGAAATAATCTTTGTCCCCACAGTCAATCCAAACTTAAAAAGCTAATGCCTCCATGTTTTCAAGAGGAAGTGACCATTACAAATGAGAAAATGTGCATGCACAGAAAAAGTGTTGCACACGTTTGAGGCATCAAATATATAAGTTGCGTGGGAGAATTTATATTTTTCCTACAACAGAAGATATCATATATAATCTAGACTTTTAGAAACATTACCAACCATCTTTTTGTTTTAGAAGAAAGCATTAAACAAATCTGACCAATTAGTAGCTCTTTAAAACTTATCACTGTGTCAACAAATGACATATTAGCTGATATATATTTATGAGTTATTAAACATTTAATAAGGGTAAATGCTGCTTTTTTAAAAGGTAGGTACAGAACAAACTTTTCTTCACTTAACTAGCCATCCAACTGTTCTAGGATCAGAAAACAACACCCGTGAACGTGCTGCCTTCCTGCTCCGATAGTGGCCTCTCTTGTCTACTTTGAACCAGCAGCTCGGTTCCGCCCCTGGAATGCACCTCTCTGCAGAGCACGCTCTCTTTCTCAGCCGAGCCGTGACACCGCTCTCCGTCACGGATGTAAACACGTGTGATTGATCGCCGGTCGAGACTGCAGCACACTTGTGTGCACAAACACAGGAAGTGAATGTTGGATAAACAGGGGAAACGGTGTGTGAGACAGAGTGTGTCTCTGAAAACAACACACATCCACCATGCATGTGTGTCTGTTTTTATGCCAGTCTGACTGGCAGACTGGGGCTGTTTGGATGCCAGGCAGACTCTGATCATTGTGTGTGTGTGTGTGTGTGTGTGTGTGTGTGTGTGTGTGCGCGTGTGTGCTTGTCATTCAAATGTCTATTGTTTGTGGTTGAAGGACACTGAGGACAATGAGAATATCAATGATGTCTCATTTCAACCTGTTATAAATAGAAGAATGGTTTCTCACAATAATGTAGAATATAAAATAAAAAGAATACAGAAATATTGAAAGTGAAAATCCAATTCCACATACAGAAGCTGGCTGGATACTTCAAAGAGGAGGATGTGGGTGGCAGTAGATTAAAGGGAAAGTCTGGATTTTATTTTTGTGGGGTTGTAAGAGGTACTTACCCGTAGACAGTCTATTACCTACAGTAGATGGCGGTTCAACTGATAGATAGTATATCTACCCGTGTACCCGTGCTGGTACTCCTTCCTGTTATCCCCAAACTGGCCATCCACTGGAGATAATATATGGACTATGGAAATGAACTTCAAATCATTTGAACGGTCCCTTTAAAACTGTGCTTGATGATCACCGCTTGACACTTAATGTAAAACCCTTCTCATCAAAATGTACTTTTGAGGACCTAAAGAAAGACACTCTGCTTTAAGCTTTAAATCTTTTGGTTCCGTTTGGACTTCTGAAAAAACTAAACAAATAAAACATGTCTTATCACTTTTCTTATTCCATGTGAACACAGGTTCTATTTGATCTTCTCGTACCTTCTGTTCTTGGATCTGGGCCTTGACCACGCGGTACTCGGCTGACGGGGGCTTCTGATTGGCCACCAGCTCCTCCGTGTCGCTCAGCCAGCTCAGCAGAGGCTCCAGAGCATCCTGGAATTTCCCACAATGCAACAGGGCCTCCTGCAGCTGGGCGATGCGCTCTGCCACCTGAGGACAGGGGAGGCGGGTGAGTTGTGAGTTGAGAAAAGGAAGTGGACATACTGTTATGCCCGAGTCTATACGGAGACGTACCCGCTTGTTGAATGAGTTCCATCGGAGGTTGGTGGTCTCCAGGTCGTGCTCCAGAGCCTGAGTGTCGGTGTGTTTGCCGGCGCTCTGGATCAGGCCCTGACCTACTGCGTTGATGTGCTGCAGCTTCGGCTGGATGCTGTCCACCTGCTCTCTCTCCACAGCCTGGAAGAGGAGGGTCGCCATTCATTGAATTATTCAACACACAAGAAGAAGGACTTAGTTTAAACTGTTTTATTTGAAAGCAGAAAATATACTGAACATTCAATCTGCGTCACAACAAATGACCATGAGCTTTACCACATTATGCTCATATATATATATATATATGAGCATAATGTGGT